AATAAAAATATCTAAAAAAAAGCCGACATTGAACATAAATAATCGAGTTTTTAAAAGTAAAAAATAAAAATAAAAAAATCAAACCAAAATATAAATTTTGAACAAAAAATATTAGTTCTGTCCATTTTGTTCGATAATGTAATCTTATAGTCATTAATGTTCAATTCGTATATCCATAATGTGAAATTGTGATACATAAAAATATATAAAAGCTAATAATATTTTTTCATATAGTCCAATCGGTTTGACTATTTATTTTAAAAATTAAAGTCGGCATCAAACGGAAATAACCGTGATTTTAAAAGTCAAATCATATAATCGATCCAAAATATTAAATTTTGAACCGAAAATTTTAGTTTAATATGTTCGGTCTTTATTGTGCAATTTGGCAGTAATTAAAGTGCAGTCCATCTAACGTTATTGTGCACTTGCAGCGTATGCGTTTTCTAATATTTTGTTCCAAAATAAACTAAAACGAAACTACTGAAATAACTGTGACTAAAAAAGTAAATTAATATAATCGACCCGGAATAAAAAAAATTTGAACTGGAAATTTCAGTTCAATCGGTTCGGTCTATATGATTATGAACCAGGAATTTCAGTTCAGTCGGTTCGGTTTTTATGGTGCAATTTGATAGTCATTAATGTGCAATTAATATAGTGCAATTAATATAGCACAATAGCAGTGTATGCATTTTTATATTTTGCTTAAAAATAAACTAAAACGAATTTGAACTAATCGAGTTGTTCGATTGGTTAACCGGATTACCCTAAATAATTTAAGTGATTTATTATTTATATTATAAAAATTGTTGTAGTTTATTTTACCAGAGTAGAATCAAAAGATTCGAACACCGGGTCGTGTTCTCGAGGAAGGTTAGCCGGACTATTTTGTACGTTCATTCGATCACTAAAACGAAAATAATTCTAAACATTCTAATTCAAATGGTTGATTGGTTTTTTACTTAACAATTCTTAACTAGAACAATTTAAAATTATACTATTGAAATTAATTCAAAGAGATATAAATTAGAAAGATGAAGATAATTCCAAGGAATGTAAATAACTAAGGTATCGGGGACAATCGTCTTCAGTTTATATAAATTTGACGGCAATCAATTACTCAGTTGAAAGGCTCGATTAACTAACTCATTTAGTGGTTTTACCGTACTAACTTTCGTAATATATGGAAAAACATTAATGAGTAAATTAACAAAACAATCAACACATAAACAATATGTTTCCAAACATGTTTATTCTAAACGAGTCAAGTTCTGCCAACTTCGCCCCTCTCGGTTTTGAAATCAATTGTTTAGATTAAAATGGTGATCAAACATTTAATCGTGAAATAAGTAAAACTCGTAAAGATTGAGTAATTGATATAGACATAAGTAGGAACGAACCGAGCAATTTTCCCCTAACCCTAGTTAGATGATTAGTTGCTCATAGTAAATTTAACATCATCATTCAAATAAACCATTCTTAACATCATGAAATGAAAGAAATAACTTACTTGATAATGTATAATCCAAGCACAAATGCAAACTTAATCTCCCAAAACAACAATGATATTTCCCAAGTGTTCTTCAAAATAACAAACTCAAACTAGAAATGAAATGATAACTAAAATGTAGTAATAATGTGGATGCTTAATGATCCTAAATGTAGTGGTATTTATAGGAGTAACATCTCCAACACCACTACTAAAATTTGCAGAAAACATGATCAAAATTCTCCACTACATAGCACTCACAAAACAAGCCACAATTTGAGGGGAAAAGAAGAAAAAAACTGTCTGCCAACAGCTGCTAGCGCCGCTAGGGGGGGCTAGCGGTGCTACCCCTACCTTGCGGCGCTAGGGTATAGAATTTTCGAGCTGCAGAAGTCCACTAGCTTTTGCTAGCGCCGCTAGCATGCTACCCCTAGCGGCGCTAGCCCCTGGAATGACCCCGTTTTTATTATTTTTGACGTTTTCGTTCCGCATGCTCTCGGTTAATGTTTCCCGGGTACTGCCCGAGCTGGAATTTTGACTCACGAACGTCTTGGATGGATGAATGATACGAAACTCCTCGAAACCAGGACGAAATCATCGAAAACCTGTAATTAACATAATCGGAAAAAAACGAAAAACAAAAGAAATAGGACAAGAAATAACAAAAACAACAAACATGCCAAAATAATAAAGAAAATACAAAAAGGGACTAAAGAGACCGGAAAATATCTAATAATCGACGTATACGAGGGATAAAACCGACAAAATTCTAACAAAAATAGCAACAAAAATAGAACAAACAACTCCCCCACACTAAGACCTTTGTTCGTCCCGAACAAAAAGAAAAGAAAAGAGAAGAAAAGAAAAAAAAAAAACAAATGAGCAAGGATAATGGTTCAAGCAAGACTAATCTCAAATTAATCAATCAAGTCGACAAGAATTCCAATGATCACAAAATCACATCTCAACTATTACTTGGCTATTTTGACGAACAACGACTCTCGAGTACGAAAATATATATCATGTGCCTCACTCAGTTTCTTCCTCAAATATATAGGATAAGTGCGCTCAAGTTGGTCGTCAATCATATCAATCATAAATTTGCATATCATCTAACTGTTACTCAAAAGAAAATTAAACTCGTGCAATCGTGAATCAAGAGGACTTTAAAGGTTGTAACGTAGGCTCTTTGGATTGGGTAGGATAAATATAGGCTAAGTGGCTATAAACATATAATCAACGCAAGACACTCACATAACCATCATCGTTAATTTTCTCGGTTGTCTAACACCAACCGTTTCCTCCATTCTATCCCAAGATCACACGCTAGTCAAATTATTCGAATATATACACACATTATTTTTTTATTTTTTTATTTTTATTATTTTTTTTATTGGACCCTTTGGATATTTCAACTAATCCANAAAAATTGATACGGCTCAACGGGGGTGACTAGCGGATTTTTCTTTTTTTTTTTACGAGAAAAGAAAAAAGGGAAAGATTACAAGGAACGCCTCAATCATATTCACATTACACAAATTTAATCAATTTATTTCGCAGCAGACTCAAGGCAAATTTCAATCGAATATAATTTAGACCAACATCTCACAGAAAAGAAACGAGTACGGCTCAAACCTCACAAGGTAGATGAAGTCAATCAAAATAACCAAGCAATTCATCAAGAATGTAATTCTCATGCTCATCATCACAACTTCTCGATTCAATCAATCAATTATTAACTAATCTTACCATACACCACAGTTCAAGCTGAAAAAGACAACACATAATCCTACGAACTGGCCCGGTCTACCAGATAAAAGAAGCGAAATAATTAAAAAAAAAACTCTAAGAAACTAAGCCAATCACATAGTCACGCAAGCACGTAAAAACTCCCCCACACTTAGAATGCGACAATGTCCCCATTGTCGACTCTAAGTACAAGAGAGTCAAACCACATAATCAACTGACGCACAAAATAAAACGAACTATACAAAAAAAAAAAAGAAAAAGGAAAAAGAGAACATACTAGGCACAGTGATGAAAATCACTGTGTATCCGGCGAGGGAGGCTGTGGTGGGTTGGTGCCGCCTGAACTCCAACGAGTGTCCCACTGGTCGAAACGGTTGTCCCAAGTGGACCACCGCTGGTACTGCTGTTCCGCCCATGTATCCCAACGGCTGTCATGGGCGTTCCAATGCTCCGTGTTGTCCTGAACAAAGTTGTTCCACTGTCGATTCTGCTCTGTCCAACGCGCGTCGTTGGTTTCAACGAACGACGTACAACGCGCGTCGTTGGTCTCTATGAACGAAGTCCAACGTGCACCGTTCTGCTCAGTGAAAGCCGTCCAGCGGGAATCATTCCAAGCTTCATACTCGGAAAACCAGACAGGAGCCCCGTCGGAATAAGAATCGTAATGGCTCGGTACCGGAGGCAGAATCTGAAAGGACTCCTGGCGAGGCTCGTCATCGGCGGCTGGGCCCTCGTCGGAGGTGATGTGAAATGGCTCCTGAGATGGGGCACTCATCGTCCCTGCTGTCGTATGGGACGGGCCGGCGGCGGCCGCGGCCGCGGTCTCAAGCGCCTTCTTGTAAGCGATGTAACAAGGCCGCTGGTGGACGGGGATAACGCGGTCCTGAATGATGAACTCGGCATGGTATAGTTCCAGTCGCCCAATCCACTCGGACGGCATACATGGTTCGTCAATTTGGACGTTGAAATGCGCCGCAATCTCTCCCACTACATGGCCCAAGTTAGCTCCACGCGGTTCATCGGTCCTAATGTTGAAGAGGGTGCGCTTGAGGTATTGGAGCATGCACACCGATTGCCCTTGGGAGATTGACCACAAAATGAACACATGCTGCTCGCTGACCTTGTTCGATTCCTTCTTGCCGAAAATAGTATGGCTAATGTACTTGTGGATAACGCCGAGCGCCACATCGGAAAGGAAGCTGGGAGATGCCCCGGTCGCCTTAAATGGTATCCCCGGTGTCAAAAGTGGCCAGTGTGGGCCCGCCTTAAACCCCGCCGGACTGCCGCATGGGTCCTTAATCTCGATTTTGAAGATGTCGCTGAGCAACTTGTCAGTGATCTTGTATTCTTTGCCCTTAAGACGAGCGGTCGAGAAAAACTCGATAGAGAGGGATGGGTAAGCCCGTGAAGCCATGCCCTCAAAATACTCGAGATCAAGCAGGGCCAAATAACGTTCGACGTTGTCTTTGATTTGCGCTCGCTCAAGGAGGTCCCAGTCGAGTACGCGTGGGCGTAGAATTGGCTTCGAGGTGAGACGTTGAAACGTCGTAACCTCGTCCATGTCGGACACCGGAAATGGGACGTTATGTTGTTGAGCGAGAGCCGGTCGTGAGGATACCGGGGCGGGGTTAGAGCTCGAAGAAGCCCCAGCTTTTGATTGTGCCGTTTTCTTCGAATTAGTCGTGGCACGTCTCATGTTGTCTAGGTGAGGCAATTCGTCGAACACTTGGTGTGCGGAGTCGAAAGGTGCGGCTTTGTGAACAATTCGTTCAAGGAGGTCCCGGAGTTTGGCCTCCTCACGCCACACACGTCAACAAGTCACAGAGATGGATAGCCAACCGTACCTTTTGCATCCGAATTCGAGTCGGAATCAAACCAAATTTGTCAAAGAAAGGTTGAGTGTCTTGTTCGATAAGGGATGACCGGAATCGGTGATGAGGGTGAGTAGTTGTCGAAGGTGGACGATTGGAGTCGGTTGACTGTGAGAATTCGCCGGCTAATGAGGTGGTCGGAAAATAGTCGGAATTGAGCTCCGGTAGTCGGTTTCAGATGTCCGAGTTGCTTAGGAGGGAATTTGGAGGATGAAAAGCTCGGGGGTGCTGAGGTGCTATCACCGGAGGAGCGTGATCGGGAGTTGAATGGTCGGAGATGGTGTGGACGGAATTTTTGGAGAGAGGGAATCGAAGCAGTGGATCGTCGGTTGCTGCGTGAAAACAAGAAGAATGAAATGTTTCGAATTTTTTTATAGATATAGAATATGTACAAAGGTGCTCGATTTTATTGCCGTGAGCTCGGCACTCGCGCGATCAGGTATACTGTGGTTCGTCGAGATTTTCGGTCTCGACATGCTTCTTCTTGATTTCTTCTCCGAAATAGGGTTTGACCCTTTGTCCGTTGACGACCGGTAGACGGGTTCCGCAGTCGGACGGCCCCGAAAGACAGTACTTCGTCAACAAGAAATGGGCCACTCTACCGGGACTTAAGTTTTCCCGGAAATAGACGAAGTCGGGAATTAAAGAGGAGCACTTGCATGCCCGGCACCAACTCCTTCCGGACAATTCGAGCGTCGTGAAGGCGTTTAACTTTGTCCTTGTAAATCTTAGAATTCTCGTACGCCTCATTCTTGAGTTCTTCGAGTTCCGAGAGATGAAGAATGCGCTCTCTCCCGGCGGTATCAAGATCAAAGTTCATCTTCTTTATTGCCCAAAACGCCTTGTGCTCGATCTCAATCGGTAGGTGACACGCTTTCCCGTAGACGAGCCGAAACGGGCTCATCCCCAAAACTCCTTTGTATGCTGTCCGTTGGGCGCATAACGCATCGTCAAGTCGACTCGACCAATCCTTCCGGGACGAGTTCACCGTCTTCTCAAGAATCGTCTTGATTTGTTTGTTGCTCGTCTCCGCTTGGCCCGACGTTTGTGGGTGGTATGGTGTCGCCACCTTATGTGAAATGCCGTACTTCTTCATCAGCTTCTCAAATATTCGGTTGCAAAAGTGCTTGCCCCCGTCACTCACGATAGCTCATGGAAATCCAAACCTACTCAAAATGTTACCCTGCAAAAACTTGATAACCACTTTAGCGTCGCACGTCCGTGTAGGGATAGCCTCGACCCACTTGGACACATAATCAACGGCAAGAAGTATATATTCGAAGCCATAGGATTTAGGAAATGGTCCCATAAAATCAATGCCCCATACATCAAATATTTCGACTTGAAGATTGCTAACTAGGGGCATTTCATTTCTAGAACCGATATTCCCGATCCTTTGACAACGGTCGCAAGTTTTGCAAAAGTTATAAGCATCCTTAAAAAGAGTAGGCCAAAACAAACCCGATTGGAGAACCTTAAAGGTGGTCTTTCGACCCCCAAAGTGTCCTCCACAATGAAGCTCGTGGCAGAAGGCAAGCACGTCCGATTGCTCTTCTTCGGGCACACACCTCCGAAGAATCTCGTCTTTTCCTATCTTGTAAAGGAACGGGTCATCCCAAAAGTAGCTCCTGCACATCAAAACAAATTGTTTCCTCTCTTGCGAAGAGAGGTTAGGCAACAAGACTTCATCGGATAAATAATTCACTATGTCCGCATACCATGGATGATAGTTACTTCACTCGCATTCTCGTATGGAAAATCATCATTTATACAGTTATGCTCATACAATGCAAGTGAAGACTCGGAAGGAACAATGCGAGACAAGTGATCCGCAACAACATTTTCACAACCTTTTCTATCCCGAATCTCAACATCAAATTCTTGTAAAAGTAAAATCCACCGAATAAGTCTAGGTTTCGATTGAGTTTTACTCAAAAGATACCTAAGGGCCGCATGGTCAGAATGCACAATCACTTTAGATCCCAAAATGTAAGACCTAAATTTTTCAAGTGAAAAATATGGCAAGAAGCTCTTTTTCGGTAGTCGTATAATTTAGTTGGGTGCCGTTTAGGGTTAAACTAGCATATAAATTACACGGAGTAATTTATCAACTCGTTGATCCAAGACGGCTCCAACCGCAAGATTTGATGCATCACACATGATTTCAAACGGTAAAGACCAATCGGGAGCAATAACAATAGGCGCGGTCACAAGCTTATTTTTCAATGTAGCAAAAGCATCTAAACATGCATTATCAAACACAAATGGCACGTCATTAGCAAGCAAGTGACATAATGGTTGGCTAATTTTTGAAAAGTCTTTAATGAAACGCCTATAAAAACCCGCATGACCTAAGAAACTACGCACACCTTTCACATTTACGGGGGGAGGTAATTTTTCAATAACATCAACTTTTGCTTTATCGACTTCTATCCCCCGAATCGATATGATATGCCCTAACACGACTCCACTTTTCACCATGAAATGACTCTTCTCCCAACTCAATGTCAAATTAGACTCGATGCAACGCTTAAGGACACGAGATAGATTATGTAGACAATGAGAAAATGAATCACCGAAAATAGAAAAGTCGTCCATAAATACCTGTAGACAGTCCTCGAGCATGTCGGAGAATATGGAGAACATGCACCGTTGGAAGGTTCGGGGTGCGTTGCAAAGTCCGAACGGCATTCGTCTAAAGACAAAGGTGCCGAAAGGGCACGTGAAGGTGGCCTTTGGTTGGTCCTCGGGTGCTATGGCCACTTGGTAGTAGCCGGAAAGTCCGTCGAGGAAGCAATAGAATTGGTGGCTGGAGAGGCGGTCGAGGATTTGATCAATGAATGGCAACGGGAAATGGTCCTTCTTTGTCACGGCGTTGAGTCGCCGGTAGTCGATGCACATTCTCCACCCGGTGTGATGCGAGTGGGGATCATCTCCTTCTTCACGTTCTCGATAACGGTGATGCCCCCATTCTTTGGTACCACATGAATGGGGCTAACCCACTCACTATCGGCGACTGGAAAAATAAGCCCCTCTGAGTAGAGCTTGAGGACCTCTGTCTTCACTACCTCCATCATGTTCGGGTTGAGCCTCTGTTGGCTATCCCGAAAGGGTTTGGCACCTTCTTCTAAGACAATTCGGTGCATACATGTGGAGGGACTTATGCCTTTGAGGTCTCCGAGGCTCCACCCAATGGCTTGATGGTTCTTTCGAAGCACTTCGAGTAACTTGTTTTCTTCATCCCGGGTGAGCTCGGCAGAAATGATGACCGGCTTTTGCTCTTTGTCTTCGAGGAACACGTACTTGAGGTGACGGGGCAGTTCTTTGAGCTCGAATGTGGAAACAGTTCGTGGGGCATGCTGGTTGGTTTTACTTAGGTCAATGGTCGGCTCATCGTCATCATTGAGGTCGGGTAAGTTCTTCTCTTCGAACTCTCGTATGGCCATTGCTTCAATAAAAGGGTCGGTTACATCGACAAACATGCACTCTTCAACGAAATTTACCGATGATGAGGATGTGGCTTCCTGGACAGAAATAGACACGGACTCGCCCAAGACCGTCATCTTGAGGGTCCCGTTCTTCACGTCGATGAGGGTGTTGGTGGTGGCCATGAATGGTCGCCCGAGAAGGATGCTGTGATCCTTCCCATTTTTTTGTACGTCTCCCACATCTAGAATGACAAAATCTACGGGAACAATGAGTTCTCCCACACGTACAAGCACGTCTTCCACCACTCCCTTGGGATATCGAATGGACCGGTCGGCACGTTGGAGGCACATACGAGTTGGTCTCAAGTCCCGGAGACCGAGCCTTTGAAAAATTGAGAATGGCATGAGGTTGATTCCGGCCCCGAGGTCAAGCATCCCCGAAGCTTCTTTTCCATTCCCGAGGGCTATTTTTATCACGAAGCCCCCGGGATCTCATTCCTTCTTTGGTAGATCCTGGTGCATCGCACTTGCCACCTCGTACACCACGACTTTCTCTCCGTCCTCGAATTTTCTCTTTTTCGTCACCAAGTCCTTGAAAAACTTGACGTAGGATGGCATATTCTTGATAACATCAAGAAGCGGCAAGTTCACATTAACCTTCGATAGCATGTTGTAAAGGTCCCAGAATTGCTTCTCTTGTCTATCATCTCGAAGTCGGCCCGGTAAGGGAATGCTCGATTTGAATGGATTTGATGATTTGTGTAAATTCGGCCCTTCCACCGGTTTGCTCGTGTCGGTCTGTGTGCTCTTCTCGACATTATTTTCCCCATCCTTGGGTTGGTCGGTTGATGTGAGGTCCTTTGACTCGGGCATTTCGACGTGGTTGTCGACCACCTTCCCGCTCCGCAATACGGTAATCGCCTTAGCTTGCTCGGGTTGGCTAGGGAGTTTCCCTTTGTCGGATTCGGCCTCCAAGTTTCCAACTCTCGAGGTGAGTTGGCCAATTTGCGTCTCCAAACACTTAACAGTTGACTCTTGGTTCGTCATGAATTGGAGGATTTTGTCTAGTTTGTCGTCTTGGGTGAGCGAGCTAGAGCCGACCGCTTGGGTTTGCA